TAATCTGTGGGTAATAAATCATAAAAATATCCAAATTCCTAATTAGCTATAGTTAGAACTTAGGTGTTTTTGTTTATATATTGCGTAAAATCCAGAGGCTAGTTGTTTTACAAAATAAATTTCGAAATTAAATTGTTAGAATCTAATTGAATTAATGCCTTTTTACGTAAATATTTGGTTAAATGCATGTTCTTAATACTCTTTTTAATTTTAGCTATTTATTCGTTTTTTCAGATTGTAATCTTTTAGTATAAAATTAAGATAGCTGTTTTGTTAATTTTCATGTAATTTTTGATATGTTCGAGGGATGGAATATATTAAAACATTGCCAACCTCCCAACTCCGTGTTACTAGGACTTTCTTAACAAAAAGACTCAACAATACTGAACTCAGGACTTCCGGATGTGAAGCGCTAACTGCTAAACTCCCGAGGGTTTTAACCTTAAGTATTTATGTCGCGACTGCATAAATATTGCCTTTCTCCTTCAACTTGTTTCCATCTTTTTAATTCGCTTTTTAGTTTAGTTCTTACGCAGTCGGGATTTTTTAATTATATAATTTAATTTTTATTTATAAGCATTTTAGTTATGGCGTGTTAGACATTTGCAGTTTTATTAAACAGTTTCTTCCACAAATTTTAATTATATAAGTTGTATATAGGTATATTTTTTTAATCGACTCTTGAAAACCTTTATTGTAATACTATACCCCAATATACTATAACCCACAAAAAATTTAAAGACAAATTGCCTCCTAAAATCCTTGTTTGTTTTTATTTGTCTACATAGCCAATACACTTGCCATATCAAGACGAATATAATGACGTATGAATTACCAAATTCGGTTAAGCCGTTTAGTAATTACGTCGCAACTTTTAGGGATATCGATTACTAAAATTAAAAATCTAAAAACCCCCTACGCAAATTAATTATCATTTAACGATTACACTGGCACGCGTGAAGCACTTAATCGAGTAATCGTACGCCAAAATGCCTTACATAATTTTGGAAAAGAGCTGCTACTCTTACATTGCTGGACCGATATTAACCAAACATAGCTAAGAACCACCGCAAGGAAACTGGCTTTCAAATGCAAAAAAACCCCATCGTATTCGGTCCATCCGTTTGAGAACTATGATGCCACTCACAGACACACACAGATAGACATCGACGTCAAACTTATAACACCTCTCTTTTTGCGTCGGGATTTAAAAATGCATCTAGACAAGGGACGAGCTTAAATAAAGTGAAATAGTATAATTGATTACTACACAGTGAATTAAATTGCGCAATTAATTAAAACCCTTCATTTGAAGGGTTACGGGTTTGATACCCCGCTAGATATTTATAGAAAAAAATTCAAGTCTAATAGGCGTTAAAAACGTTATTTTAGTTTTTCATAATTTTCATATATTCTGCTACGCTTACCCTCGCTTCACTCGGGTTCGTCCCTAGCGAAAAACAAAAACAATTCAACAAAAAAATTCCGTTCAGCCGTTACGGCGTGATTAACAAACATGCATCTATCCAAACTTTCGCATTTATATAGTAGTAAGATGACGTTTGCGTTATCTAGACGAATCTAACGACATGTGTATGTATAATTGAAGTGAAGGAAAATAGGTTCGAACATACATATATATATAACCCTCAATTTGCGCTTCGCCGCAGGCGGGTGAAAATTAAAATATGTAAAGGATAACTTATATTTATGTAATAATATTTGATAATTAAATCAAGTTATATAAAAATCTATGTATGTATGTATGCATGTATGTATGTTCCGTATGGACTCCAAAACAGCTGGAGAGGTTTTGATGAAATTTTCAGACAATCTTCAGATTAGCCCAGCGAGTGATACTGTTAAGTTTGGAAACGATCGGAAGTTAGAACGCGGGAAAAGCCGCGTATACTGCTAGTATTAAGTAAAAATAAAACCAACTAGTTCAGTAACTTATTAATTTTATTACAAAACTGCTGATTTTTAAATACAAAATTTGCTATCTTAAACATACTTAGCTAACTTAAACAATAAAATGCATGCATTAAACGTTTTAGGACAGAGTATAACCTGTTTTTTTTTAAATATAAAATCATAACTGTCGATGACAATAAACAATACCCATAGACAAATAAAGAAATATAAAAAATCTATTTGTCATGTGGACTTAAAAAAATAATTTAAAAAAACATATATTTCCTTAGCCAAAAAAATTAAAATATAACATACCAAAATTATACCTTTTTTACTTAATTTATATGAGCAGTAATCACACTATAACTATATACATTTTTAATTAGGCATTACATAAAAAATTAATATGACTTAAAATGAAAAGTGACAGCAAAAAACCAATCAATTTTTGTGCTGATTAGAATTTTAAAATTCCCAACGATCATACAATAATCGATTAATTCGAAAACAATCGATTTTTTGCGACGAATTAAAAAAAAACACATCATGTCATTTGCCTTTAAAGTCATCATAAACAATCGTTGGAAATGTAAGCAATTTTCTATGTTATTGTTTTTGAGTAAATACAGATTCTATTTTTATTTGCAATTTCTTTTTATGTCTGAATAAGGTGAAAGCTTTAAATATAAAGGGATTTATCGACTTCAAAACTATGCTATTCTTAGTAAATAATTTTGTATTTCACTTAGAAAAAAAACCTAACATGACGAGATAAAAAGCACCTATAAAATATTTCTGTTAAAAAAAGCCATAATAAAAAATATAATCTGTCTGTTGCTGTGTAGGAGAAGGACAAAGTGATAAAAACACGTGCATTTATCTTATAATATTAAATGAGCAATTTTCGTATATATATATATATATATATATATATATATATATATATATATATATATATATATATATATATATATATATAATGCAAATTTTATATAAAATCGCGCAAGGCTCAGTTGTCAGGTACTAATATTAGTAAAAGTTAATCCAATAGAAGTTACTAAATTCAATATTCTTGACATTCTTTTTCTTTTAACCTTTTTTCCTTATTTAAACTATTAATACACAACAAAAATACAAAAATCTGCCAAATCGGTCCAGCCGTTTTTAAGTGAGGTGCTTACAAACAGACAGTATTTCATTTTTATTATATAGATGTTTTTTTTTAAATCTTATCAACTCATTCATGCTATACATTGAAATATTATATATTTTCTTATTTATTATTATCAGAAGCATATATTTGTACCGTGTAAGCTTCTTAGTGGCTTTAAGCTTTGTTATAGGTAGGGGATACACCATAAGCGAATATTTTTTTATATTGTAATATTTTTTCTTAATTTAATTTCATAATAAAAAAATAAAAGTAAAATAATAAAAATAATAATAAGGAAATAATTTTACTTTGGATTATGATGACAACAATGAGGTCTCAGAGCAAAAGTGGCTTAGCCAGTTTTATAAAATTAAAAATATATATTTTTTAATATCTATATTTATATCTCTTGTTGTTTAAATATATAAATAAAATAAAAAGATTTAAGTAAGTAAAAGTCATAGTTCTTTGAAAAACATATACTAATTGTAAAAATTTTCAGTTATGTAGTTTTGAAACTGACATTTCTCCATAATGGTGGCAACTTTGAATCAATGAACCACTCATAGGAGAGACTAAGAGTTTAGAAATCTCAAAGGCATTATATAGTTGTTACAGACAGTCTCTCCCGTGACCATTATTGCTGCAAGGCATTTGAAACGTCGGGAACCAAAAATCAAATTTAAATCCACGAAAAAATCCAAACAAAAAAAATAGTTTTATTTAAAATGTTAAATATTCGGGTAATTCTAAGAAAGTTTTATCGTCATATACATATAATATAATAATAGTAGTACTTTTTTATATTTTGTGATTATATACTTCAAATAAATGGTACTAAGTAATACATAATAAAATGTTTTAAACACCTTTATAATAGTAAAAAAAAAATAGAAATAAACTATAAATATAATAATAAAAAAACAGTCCTAAATGCCTTACTTTTTCGCTTCAAATATTAAAAGTGAAATATGAAGCTTACTTTCATATTTAAAATGGCGGAAAACAAAATGAAATCTTTGTATATTGTATTAATAGTTAGAAAATATTTAGTGACACCATCTGGATGGATACCTTTAATAATCTTAAATCTTACATTAGTACCTCAGGCTAAAGAATTATAAAGACGGAGTCCGCCAAAAAAAATGTCAAAGTCAAAAATAGTAGCGTGATTTGCTGTTTATGCTACTATTCTCGATTTTACCATACATATCGTTTACTTTCTTTAAAGTATAAGAGAAATTTTATATATTTAGTTACAAATATCTTAAATATTGTCTTAAAAATACACATTATACATGAACAACAAATTGTCATTTGTATACTATTTTAAATCATCATTGTTTGACTTCATGTTTAGTTCTATGACACTCTGTCTACATTATTCCTTAGTCTATTAGTGCATATAGAGTAACATAAATGTTGAAGACATAACAAAAAATAAAAAACGCCATTTTAGCAAATTTCATAACTAACAATAGCGTGTGTTACTCCAGCTCATAGTATATCTGTGTACGAAAATTCATCCAAATACGCCCAGCAGTATTAGCGTGAACGAGTAACAAACATACATACATACTTTTACTAACTATTAAGAGCTCATATATATCTTTGGATCTTCTTAATCGATTCAAAGGAAACAATTTTAAATTTTATTCATTTTTATTATCTGTATAGAAATGAAAACCGATATCGGATGTTAAATTCTGGTTGTTAAAGCCCTCCCCCTTTGCCCTTAAATCTTTGATTTATTTAACAAAAAGGTATATGTTTATTTAAGAAAAAAAACTTAAAAAAATATATTTTAAAGTTGTTTTTCTTTAAATTTAGAAGAAAAAATTTTTTTTTATATCCATAAAAGAACTCACATAAGAACATTCATATAAAAATATATATTAAAAGAAAACATACATACATATCTTATTATATTCTAAAATAGTCCCTTGGCTTTGCTCTCAGCAGCAAACTTTCGTACGTGCACTATATAATCCAACATGACTGTTGCAAATGCCGCATCTAACACAAATTGTGGTATTTTACCTGAAAAATAATTAATTAAATTAATAATTAGAAAATGATTTAATGTAAAATTAATTTAATTTCCAATGGTCACCGCCTGATGTTCAAAATCGACCACATTTCATTAAGTTTGAAACGTCATTGAGGTACTTTTGTCACAGTTACATATATATATCGCCTCATAATTCAAAATTCAACTATATTTCATTTTATATTTAAAACGCATTAATTTTCTACAAATATTAAATTGAAATTATCGATAATAATTCTTTATTAGATCGTCCCTTAATCCACTTGTGGTCGGAAAACCGACTAGAGTCTGGCTAGCAAAGCGTGTCCTGTAGTTTTCTTAAAAGTTTTGATACACCAACGTTATTAAGCTGTCAAAGCCATATTCCAAGAGCTGGCGACGAATTTTGGGAAGGTCCTTTTGGCAAGTTGAAATTGTGAAAAAATATAAACTGAAAATAAATATATAAATATTACATACTGCGCAGTAACGAAATAACCGCTAAAGCTATACCAGACTCGCGGGACTGGACTCGCCAATTCACGAAATTATATTATTTCATAATTTCAACTTGCCAAAATGACCTTCCCAAAATTCGTCAGGAGCTCTTGGGCTAGCACGTCAAACTTCAAAGTCTCTTATTGCTCTGGTTTTAAGCGTTGATAGTAACTGTATACATTTGTGTGCATAAACTAATTGGTACATACATATAACGTAAAATGTGTCTACTAATAATAGACTTGAGTTGTTTACAATGATTGATAAAAATTTATATAAAATTAAGAAAAAAACTTAACGATTACTTAATTTTGAAGCAAAGCTCGTCCATTTTCTTTTGTAAAGCATGATGTTGATATGAATTAGAAAATTTTCAGAATTTCTACAGACGAGGTGTGTTCCTTAAATTAGAAATTAAGTTCGCAAACAAGTATTATAGAAATGTTGTAAATACAAGAAACACTCAAGTATCAAAACATTTTTCTCTTACTATAGTTAGTGATATCACATAGAGATTTTTTGAATTTGCAGCGTTTGCTCAGGTCACGCTTTTGGCTAACCAGACTGTACAATTCATTAACACCTCCAGGTAAACTTCTAAGAAATTAATTAAATTTCTAAGAAATCTATTGTTAACTGTAACGCCGGCGTGTCCGCGGTCGTGGAGGGATTAAGTTTGAACGTTATTCAGATACTTTTCTCACAGTTACATATTATGTAGCGTGTAACCTTCGTCAATGAATAGGTTATATACATCGAAAAAGAACTTTTTAATATTAGAACCATAGTTTCAGAGATTAACGCGAGCAGACAAACTAACGACCAGCAACTTTGACAAATGAACCTCAATGGCGTTCAAACTTAATCAATTATGGTCGATTTTCGATTACAATGATGATGATGATAATATAGAATTATTATCAAAAATTTCAATTTTCTATATGGAAGAAATTAATAAAACAAAACGTTATCCCGGGATATTGCGGTCTTGAATACAAATGTATTCAGCCCTTTTTAACGTCCCACTGCTGGGTGTGGGCCTCCCTTCAATATGAAGGCGATCAGGCCATAGTCCACCACGCTGGCCAAGTGCGGGCGGACTGGGCATGTCTTTCGGAATCTTGCTAGGTTCTCTCAGACATGCAGTTTTCCTCACGATTCACCTTCACCGTAAGACAAGTGGTTATCATGTTGAAAAAGATTTGCAAATGAAAATATCAAAAGTGCAAGACACGGGGTTTGAACCCGCTTCACTCGGTTTCCCAAGCGAGCATATTGCTAATACAAAATCATTATCGACTTCTTCTTCTCCCTGCCCATTTCCCGATCACTTGGGGTCGGCGCAGTACATCTTCTGTACTGCTGATAGAATTTGGCAAAAGTTTTACGACCGGCCGCCTCACGCCTGCCTGACGTCAACCCTCCTTGGGAATGCTATTGTCTCTCTTTGTCTGAGTGGTATCGCGGAAGTCTTGTAATATGCACTTTCGATTTTTTTGTCTTTTAAAACATTTTTTATACTATTACTTAAATTTTAATGTTATTTTCGGATATATTTTAAAATAAATTTTGATTACACTATAAATTTTGTTTTGACAATTATTATCGACAATATAAATTTTTTAGAAGAAAGAAAATCTACGCTGCTATTATAAAGAGGAAAGATTTGTATTTTTGTATATTTGAAACGAATAAGCTCCAAAACTACTAGACCAATTTAGGTTATTTGGACATGGGATATTTTTTATTCCGGAAATCATCCTTTAAGGGGGTGAAAATGGGGATGAAAGTTTGTATGAGGAATCAACCTAGGGACGAACCATATTCCGGACTTGAATACAAATAGTCCAAAAAAAGTTTCACCTTTTAAATCACAGCACATAAGCCACTGGAAGACAGTTCTCTCTTCCATTTTCCCACCGGCAGTCTCCACTGATTTTGGCGTTAGACACCAACAACCCACTTTATTGTGACCTCTGGAAACACAAAATAAATAAAAATATGGGTCTATACAAATATATATTAGTACATAATACTTTCCTAGATTTACGCTAATATTTAACATCTATACTAATATTATAAAGAGGCAGAGTTTGTTTGTTTGTGGGTTTGTTTGTTTGTTTGAACGCGCTAATCACAGGAGCTACTTATCCGATTTGAAAAATTCTTTTTGCATTATATAGTCCGCTTATTGAGGAAGGTTGTAGGCTATATATCATCATGCTACTACCCCAAGGGACGGAGCAGTAATCATAAATATCAACAAATCGGGCAGACTTCCAAACATTGTAAAATTGATGTTTATAATCAACAAATTTAACGCGGTCGAAACCGTGGGGCACAGCTAGTTTTAAATATATTAAACTAAGTTATTTTTGTGCCAATATTGTATTTTTGAAATCATTGTATAATTGTCTGTAGAAAGTGTCTGTCTGTTCTGTCTGTAAGAACTATATATATTGACTTTTGAGGAGTCTAAAACCTTAGTCTACCCCGTGTCCATGTGCGCTGTAAAGCATTCGAAACGTCGGGAACTAAAATATAAGATAAAACCGCGATGCAAACCGAAAAGATAGTTTCACTATAAAACAATAAACTTTTTTCAATTAAACTTATACAAGCACTTTTGAATCGTCAATTCAGTCCAATATAATAACTCGAACATTTGCTCGAAAAGGTACTTTAGAAGTACTCTACTTGGAAACTTAAACAAATCTTGAACGACCTTTATATATTAAAATATCGACTTGAAAATTTCAGAATCCTAATTATTTTTATAGTAAACAATAAACAAGAGAAAAAAATATATATAAAAAAATTCAATTTTTAACGATTTTGGAAATTTTTAAAAATATTGAGCAATCGGTTAATTTTTTTTGAACTGCGCTTTGGAAGGTTCTCTTAAAACGATAAACTTACATAAACAGTAGAATACATACATATTTTGGCTTATTTAAAGTAAAATATGTATCTTATACCAACAGAATTGATATTTAAAAATCAATACTTCTGTATTAAAAAGTCTAGAGTAAATTGGTCGTTTTGACACATAAGCACTGAGACAACATACTATATGGTTTTTTATTCTGTGGTAAACCATAGCACAGCCAAGAACAACTATGTAGTGCCAAAATAAAAAAAAACTCACCTAACCATATCCCTGTGAGGGGGATACCCGGGAACTTGGACACTGACCCCGCTAGTTATGTAACAATAGGGGTCGTTCTCAACTATTGACCCCTCTTTGGATATTGGTGCCATCCGCCTGAGTATGACGAAATCCCGCGGGGCAATGATCCCGCGACCCCCACCTGCTGTTACTTGGTAGGACAGGTCAATCCCGGGGGCTATTTCCTAAGGGGGTGTATTGTTATTATTATTTATTAGCGATTTATTTGTTTCTATGATACATGAAATAAATTTATCTATTTCAAATAAATAAACTGAAGCTTCTGTTTGTAATTTCAAAATAACAGTTTTTTTACTAAATGCTTACGAAATAATAAATGTATACGAAAGTATACACATACATACGGCCGGTACTTAAAAAAAAAAAACAATTTTTAGAATGATTGTCTGTATGTGTGTTACGACTCTAACTAAACTAAACTAAACTTTAAGATTACAAATACAACTAAATAACATGATTATTTCTACATATAAAAACTTTTACTCAGTCTGAAATCTGTACATTAAATATTCTTTTGAAAATCTCATTGAAATAGTCATTGTTATCGAAACGGGGGCCAAATCTATAGTTTTTAGAATTTTTGTTTGCCTGTCTGGGAAAGGACAGATTTTGATGGGTATAATGATAGCTGGTTATCCGGGTCAACAAATAGGATATTATAAAATTGTATACAATCAATATCAAATTAATATAAAATTATACAATAACAAAATATGAAGAATCCATTTGATCTAACGATGAATATTCGATTTTTTTTAATCAAAATTTAAATTGTAAAATTACAACTAACAATACCTTTATTAATTCACTTTTCAATATGGTGGGGTTCCACTCGGGAAGTTTTGTTATGTTGTCTCTAAATTGTTCAAACAAAAACTTAGCTGGACAGTCCACTACGCCCTGGAAAATGTAATTATCCATTATAATTAATAAATGCTTTATATTTATACTAATATTACAAAGAGGTAAAGTTTGTGAGTTTAGACGTTGTAGGGGGTAATCTCTGGATCTACTGAAACGATTTAGATGAAATTTGGTAAGAATATAGTTTGAGACCCTGGGAAGGACGTAGGATACTTTTTATCTCGGAAATCATCTCATAAGGGAATGAAAATAGGGATGAAAGTTTGTATGGGGAATCAAGCTAGGAACGAACCAGAACTCAGAACTCGACAGAAGCGAGGGTGAGTCTCTAGTTTCTTATATTTACATAGAATGAATATTAGTAGTAATGTATTGAGCTTTTTTTAACGTCCCACTCGTGGGGGTGGGCCTCTACAACCACCACACCACGCTGCCCAAGTGCATGCGGACTGAACATATCTTTAGAAAACTTGCTAGATTTTCGCAGAAATGGAGGTGGCACGATGTTCTCCTTCACCGTAAGACAAGTGTTAATCATGGTGGAAAGATATTGTTTAGTTCACAATTACAATATGACCTGGAGAAATACATTGGCTTCTGTTAGATACCAAGGCGCGTCTCCCATCGGATACATATTTTTTGAGACAGATAAATGTCATACGCCACTTCTTGTACCAGGTTAAAGAAAGGAGAAGAAGATTTGGTTTTCGATCGCATCACTATTATGATTACAAAACTTTGTTATGTTTGTATTTTTGTCATTCTTTTACGCTGAAGCGGCTGGACTGATTTAGATGTTTAATACATAGAAAGACAGACCTGGAGTAACACACAGCCTACTGCAAGGCACACGAGCGAAGCTAGATATATCGCTAGTTATTATATAATTTATATATATATATATATATATATATTATACTTACAGAGAATCTATAAACTTTGCCGAACTGCTCCGTCTGTGTGGACTCGACCATGTCACCTTTCTGAGACCCTCGCTTCTCAAGCCTCCAGTTGGGCAAATTTATTGTCTTCCATGCATTTTGCATGCTCTCTTCCGCCATATTCTTGTATTCAGATATCTACAATTAAAATATCATATATTAGTAATAATAATACATAATAATATAAAAGGGCACTAGGGTGTAGGGGCGGGTCTATATATAGACTTTTTGGGCTGCATCCTAGGGCCCCTAAGATATTCCCCAATGTGCGTTCACCATGTCGTGGTGTGCTCAGTAGCATTCGAAGCCAAGAAACGCACTGGGAGGCAGCCCATCGATGGGAGGTGTGCCATGCTGGTTCTTCTCCGATAGCAGAGTGGACCGTGGGAGCAACCTCGTTTTGTTGTGGTCTGCTTCGGCAGACGGCTTGACGTGGTTGAGTGCATAAGCAATCCTGTGGGGCCCCACATAAGCAACTGTAGGCATTGCAGGTTGTATACGTAAAGGCACTTCCTAACATTAAAAAAAAACTCTTAGAGACAACGGGCCTCCTATTGAAAACAATGGATAATATTGTGAATATATGAAATAAAAAAAATATCTAAAATAAAAAAAATTAAAACCATAAAAGATTGCCCTAACAACTGTGAGATTAATTAAGAACCAAACAATAGCGTTACCTTAATTTCATCTAGTACTACGAGTAGATACTATGATACTATGATAGATATCATTATAGATTTTATAAAGATAAAATAACTTTAGGCTCCCAAGAAGTGCCCCTCCTAAAGGCCCTTCAAAATCACGACCCGCCCCTGGTCGTGTAAAGTATTCGGATAAGCAAAAAAACAGTTCCCATTAGGTGTATACTTTTAAAACATAGTTCGAAAGAAAAAGGATAAATACGTTCCTAAATGTAATTTTCGTAATTTTACAAATCATTGTGTAATTAGCCACTATCAATCAGGAGATAAATTTGTTCTGCGCATTCACAGATGGCGCTGTTGATATGAGTTGTTGGCAATTACTATTAGTCATTGAAAATTGTATTATTAAATGTAACATGAATTTTACTTTGTTTTACATGTTTTAGTACATACATATTAAGAACTAAAATAACTTTCCAGTTTGCAGCTCAACGTCACCTATAACCTACTTTATAAAACACAAAAACTAGAAAAATAGTCCAATTCAAACGCACTAGGGACGCATCCGAGCGAAACCAGAGCAAATCGCTAGTAATAAATAAGCAACGAATTAAACAATTACATCATTATGTAATCAATATAAATATCAACAAATATTCAATTAATTCTTTTATCTTGTTATTAAAAAATTATAAGTGCATAGTTACAGCACTAGTTATAAACAGCAGCTGCAGTAATTGTCGATCAAATTAAACAAGGGCGTGACCTTTTTATCTTTATGAACAAATCATTTCTTGACAATAATAAACTACTATATTTATTTAAAAGTTTGTTAGATTGGATCTCTGGTGTAAACTACTCATTTCTAAAAATTCTTTGACTTAGCCGTCGATAAATTACGTTATATAAATTTCATGATTTTTGGAATTCGCCTATACCTATAGATAAATATTTTTATTAATACCTTAGATTTACACGAATATAAGTTACATTTTAATTTATAATAAAACTTGTTTTTTTACGGTTTTATTTCGTTTTTTCAATTCAATTCTTTTATTTCGTGGCTTCTAGGAGTGCCAATTGGGCACTTGAGTTGTTATTCATATATTATGTATCCATTTTTTGAACCATAGTTACTCCCGTGACCATAATTGCTGCCAAACGAAAAATACAGAACTATAAATAAAAAAAAACGCAAAAAAATATGAAAAAAAAGAAAAATCTTATTTTTATTAAAATATACTTTTTCAAAAAATGTACATAAAAAGATCGTTTGATAAAAACATTTAATAAGGATGGTCGGTAATAGCATTGAAGTTAATGACTCCTATGTGCGTATGTATGAGACAGAGTAAGCGCGGCTCGCTTGTAAATTCATTTTTTTGTTACAATATTAGACTAAAAAGCACTTACTGACAACCATTCAGCCTTGAACGGTTCATTATTAGATTTATTGAAAATCATCTTCATGAAATTGGCGATGGAGAAACCGAAAACGCTCATACTGTCCAGTTTCTTTTGCAACTCTTCCTCATTTCCCACATTCTCCAATTCCCCGACATGTCTGTCCAATTCTCCTTCAGAAAGCGCGGGAGTGTCAGATGAGGACGCCATTTTTTAAGCTTTGATATGTATCGTTTATAAGTACTTATCTTTTTTTTAATATGTAGTAACTAGAATCTTTATTCAATTGACACGTTTAAAACCCATAAAAAATAAATAATACTGCTTGAATATTGATCGTTTCGAATAGATAACATAAACCAATCTCTATTGCACGCGGATTTTAATATAAGTTGATGGAATATGATATATGTATATGTATTTTTTGTTAAATAGTTTGACGTAAGGAAAATAAAAAAGGTTTAAGGGCTTATACACACTATGTTTGATAAGCTCACCGACGGCGACGACATGTTTATCATGAATGTACGTACGCTTGTGCATATTTAGCGTTGATAAATTAAAATAAAATACAGTTACTTGTGTCGATATTTAGTTACCGATAAAAACTATAAAATAATAAAAAATAGACATGCACATAGACCCTTAATATTTTAACCTGATTGCGTAAAAAGCGAACTAAGAAGATGAAGACAAGTTGACGAAGAAACATAGTGTTAGGTATACGAGTGCAGTCGTAGTCTTTTTGTGCCTATTTTAGTAAATTAATATTTATGTAATTTTCCACAATTTATTGTAATTTTTCACTCAGAGGAGCTTTAAAGTTGATTTTGTAATTAGTGTACTAATTTAGTTGATACTTCTTATTTATCTATGATGATTAAAATTAAATGCCATTTCAAAATACGTTCAAAAATTTGTTCTAATTGACGAATCATAGTATTTGAAGTGACTTCTAAATATATGTATGTACATAAGAATAAATCATGTAAAGGTTTTTTTTAAAGAGATTAACGTCTAACGAGGTTATTTTGATAAAAGTGATTTTAGTGTTGTAAAATGTTTTAATAACATATTTTATTTAAAAATGGTATTTATATAAATCTGCAAAGCAAAACAGTTCAGTACCTTTTTCTGCTTTTTTTTGCTTATCTATTGACGACCTTTAGTATTATCAATATTATTATTTTTGGAAATAGTTAATTTTTAATATAGATAGGAAAATTCTGTTCATATTAATAATATCTAATATTATAAATGTATAAATGTAAAAGTGTGTTTGTTTGTTTTGTTTGTCCTTCTTTCACGTCGAAACGGATTGACGGATTGACGTGATTTTTTGTGTGGAGATAGTTGAAAGGCTGGAGAGTGACATAGACAACTTCTTACTGCGGAAGATTATCTCATTCCCACTGAAAAACGCGTTATAATACAATCCAAATAATATGTATGATCAGAATTAATAGAAACTGGGTATTAATGCTTTTAAATATAATTAAATAAATACGTGTTTTAGCAATTTTTCGAAATTCATCCCATAAGGGGGTAAAATATGGGATGAGTTTTAGCGCGAGCGAAGCAGTAGGGTTCTGCTAGTAGATAATATTATGTAGGTATGTATTCCTCAAATTTTCAATAACGATCGGTCCAATTTCGATCACTCGGCGAATACTTACCTACTAGTAACGTAAGTATCTATACTTATTATAAAAATAAGTCCCCCGGCCGCGTCTTTCTGTCCTCCTGTCTGTCCTCCTGTCTGTCTGTACGCGATAAACTCGAAAACTACTGAACGGATTTTTATACGGTTTTCAACAATAGAAAGAGTAATTCTTGAGGAAGGTTTAGGTATATAATTTATTATGCTTTTATGTAAATTAGCTGAAATACGGCGACAAATGTTGAAGAGGTCGCAAAAAATCTCGCCAAATGGGAACTTTCCACGCGAACGCCGCGTAAACTAGCAAAGATACAGTTAAGTAATGTACTAGAGAATTCAAAATCTATAAAAATGCTACAAAAAAGTCCGCGATAGCATATCTCTATCTCTTACGGTTGACTTACAATAACCACTTTTATGTTAACATTTTTAATTAAAAACATTACGTTATTTTCAAAGTTATTTTCTTTAGTTCGGTATTAATCCTTATCCAAATGAATATTTTAGTTAGCTTAGTCATTTAATGCAGATTAAAATTGCTCTTTACACTAAATCAATCAGATGAATAGTTTTTGAGATATCGTTGTTAGAAGTAATTAGTAGCGAAACATTTTTAATGCTTGGCGAGCATTGAGATGCCTACGGCGAGTCCATCCCCTCTGCCCCGCATCGCTCGACCGCCTGCTCAAGCTATATAAACCGGGCGATGTAGCGCGCGATCCTAGGATACTTTTTACCGCGGGAAAATATCTTATTTCTGAGGAAAAATACAAAAACTGCAATGTAAGAGTATACTAATATGTAACACCTAAGAATTTAGTTTTTGGTCATCTGAACGCGGGCGGAGCCGCGGGCAATGCTAGTAAATAATATATTTTCGTGTGTCATGATTTTATGAAAAAAAAATCAAATAATTTAAATATTGAGTTATTCAGGTCATTGTGCTGTGGCTAACATTGACGCTCCCATAATTAAAATTGTCCTATATGCAGTATATGAATATATCATGGTCACTTCAACTATATTTATTACTAGCGGCTCACCCTTGCTTCGCTCGGCTCGCCACTTTTCCGGGATACAAAGTAGCCTATTTGTTATTCTGATGTATGAACTATATTCTTGTAAGTTTCATTAAAATCCAATCAGTAGCTTTTGTCTACTAAGCTGTATAAGTTACTATAGTTATTTAACTATCCCACGGGAACTCTTTAATTTTCCGGGATGAAAAGTATCTGAGATGGTGACCGGGGATATAAGGTACCACCATACAAAATTTCATTAAATCGGTCCAATAGTTTCTTAAATAAGCCTGTACAAACGAACAAACAGTCAGAGAAACAAAAAATTTCAAAAAAATCTGCATTTGTTCTATTTCTCTTCTTACATCCCCCTGACTCGGTTTTTAGCATTTTTTTTCTATTTACAGA